ACCTTCCGAAACAATCTTCTGCCGTGGTTATCATGGGTCCGCAAGACCAACAGGGAATCGTTTGAACAGTTTTGGACGCTTGGAATTGCAGGTGGAAGAATATTCCACATTGTTCCCACGCTCTTCTCAAGAAAACCGATAAGAAAAAGAAAAAGCAGAAACCAACGGAAAACGGGGGGTCACAAAATGCACGCACGCGCACACTCATGGATATGCGTACTGACTTGATTGCGGTGCCACACGCCAGCCTAAGTAAAAAGCCTAAGGAAAACAGGGTGGGTAAAATGAAGCGGTTCAAGTCTCCACAAGTCCAAGGTCTCAGAATCTTCCAAAAGCTCCAAGGTTCTAAATTGTAGCCGCGAAACGATCGAGCGACAAGGACGACGGAACGTGCAGAGTCTGCGGATGAAGAACCGTAGCAAAGGCTGGAGTGCTTGTTCTAGTTAAAAGCAGGGCCCAGGATGAAGTGTCACAAGTAAAACTGCAGGTACGCCAGACTGATCAGGTCTGGTTTCACCGCCAAATGCAAGTGTCTTCGTTGGCAGGAGACTTGCCAAGGGTGACACACACACACACTCAAAGAAATTGCGTACGGACTCGATTGTGGTTTGCCACACGCCAGCCTAAGCAAAAACCTAAGGGAACCAGGGGGTAAGTAAGCATGAACTCTCTCTGCAAACCTTCAACGCCAACGCCAATTCCAAGATTCCGAGAGTCGAGCGGTCGACAAGGACGACGAAACACGCAAAGTCTGCCGACCTACCTCCACCTAAGCAGCCTGAGGATAGCATGGGATGTGACTACAAACATCACAACCAACCAGGTACGTCCAGAAAGCGTCCCTTCCGGATATCAGCCACATGCATTGCAGCCCTCTTCGTTGGGCAATCAACTGCAATGGGCCCCTGCAGGTTATCACGAAAAACACACGAAACGAAGCCACAACAGGTGAAACCAACGGATTCCCTGTGATTCCAAGGGTTTCACACACACACACACACACAGACACACGCCTCCACAAGGGGAGGTGGAAGAACTAAGATGTGCAAAACAGAGAAACGGATGAGGACCTGAAAGGAGGACAAGACAGACCGGATGCGCGTGGTTGCAACAAAAGGAAACCTAGTGACCAGGGACAACCGATGAACCTAACCTCCTTGTAAAAACCTGGGCGACCTCAAACCTGGCTTTCACGTGCAAGTGCGCGCGCGCACTAAGGGTCGCACAGATGCGCACGCAAGAGAGAAAAGGGATGAGGTGCCAAGACACGAAGGCAGAAAGACATGAAACGAAGGAGGAAAAAGGATATGTGTAAAGGGTAAAAAGATGAAAAGGGGAATCAAATGGAGGGGCCGGAAGCCGATGAAACTGGACTAGGAAAGGCCAGCGCGCGCTGTGCGTGCACTACACGCTGGCCAAAAGAATCTCTGACCGCTCTGGTCACCTTGCGCCAACCCAAAATGGTGGGCAGCTTGAGTCCGCTGTGGACACATTCTGGCGTGCCCGAAGGCTGCAATAATCCGTCAAGTCTTGGCAAATAACTTTGGCTTAAACCTCCTGCTGTCTGCTATGGACACCTCGTTCCCAAGCCGGGGTAACGTAGAAAAACCCCCGTTCGACGGGCCACAGGGGACACTCCTCGGGTACACCTGGCTCTCACTGCACGCCAGCCTAAGTAAAAACCTAAGGAAACCAGGGGAGTAAGTGAGCATGAACTCTCTCTGCAATCCTTCAACGCCAACGCCAATTCCAAGATTCCGAGAAGCGGTCGACATGTGCAAAGTCTGCCGAGCGGCCCATGAAATTCCATGGGTCTTAGACCCACTTGTTCCACGTTGGAACCATGCATTAGCTAGCTTCATTGTTCATTGCGTTCCCGAGACAAGAAAATACTTGCCATGGACCTCCGCGTAGGACTTCTTGGGCTTCTCCGACCTATACAATGGGTTCTTTGGAGGCCAAACCAATAAAATCAATGGTGGGCCAGGAATCCCAGGGTGCATTGAACCCCTCAAAGCACTCCCAAAAACGCTGCATCTGGCTCCAAACAGCTCGCATCTGCGCTGCGCTGTTTGGGCGCCAACCCGGTTCTGTTGAGCTCATGGTCTGAGGGTGTCCGGTTGGCTGATGGTGAATCTTTTTCAACCCACACCTTCCAGGCGTCGAGCCGGTCTTTCTTGGGTTGGATAAAAAAGTCCTCAAAAGCGATTCAGTCGGCGATGGGTGACATCAAATGGGTGACACATCACTCTCAGATACTCTTGGCCCCTTTGGTCCCGTTTGCTTTTGTAGATGGCGAGGACCCTGTAGCAAGGAGGATCTACATAGGATTTTAAAAGCATGTCCCATTGCCATTGCTAAGGTGAACGACCAAGGTGAATTTGTGATTATACATGGAAAGATCTCAAGATGCGCCTCCTTCTGAGATCTGCCTCAAGGTGAAAACGCCAAGGGGGGCTGCACAGCCAGCTCTTCATCGCCAAGAAATGAACACGCTGCCCTCAAAGTTGCTAAAGTCAACTCTACTCCATTCACCAAGACCTTGTCTACATCCATTAGGCTCAATTGTAATTCACACTCGAGGTCTTCTTCTTTCTTACCATCTTCTTTCTTGTCTTCGACCTCCTTCTCCGGTCGAGTAGGGCTTCTTGTATCATGGTGCAAAGAACCCCATATCTTCTGGTGGGGCTCGTAGCTGAAGATTGCGATTGAAGGCAAACGGCATCATCATCCAAAAAATGCTCATCAAGCTCCTTCTTTTCGTCATACTTTCACAATATTCAGGCTTATCCAAAGTGGTTCTCATCAGCTCTGGTGAATCTTCCAATTCTGGAATGAATGCGGGATCAACAAATCTTGAAGTCAATAAGTTTCCAACTAGTAGGCCACGCTCATTGAATCTCCAACCCGCTGCCTTTTCCCAAGCTTCAGGTACTTGCACCTGGCAGCTACCTTTCATCCTCATCTCAAACAACTCTAACCCGGCCTTGCACTGTCAAAGAGCGATTTTGCAAGTTGAATGGAATGGTACCTTCAAGTCACCATTCTCCAAACCATTGATTCCCCAACCATGTTCCATCAGTCTGCCACAGCAGAGTATGAGCTGATTCACTTTTGAACTGAAGATCACATGCTCTTTGAGAAGAACTTCACGTCCATCAATGTCACGCAAGGAGATTTCGGCACTTTTCGTACCCCCGGCGGGGATACGATTCCAGGGCATCTTGTAGTTTGGTAGCTGAATTAATTCCCCTTCCCCATGATCTGCCATATTCACAGAGAATAAAGCTACATTAGCTCCACTGTCAATAATGACGGCCACATCATCTCTCTCTTCTCCAAGTCTTCTAACCTTGGACGCCTCGTTCTCAATCTCCATTGAATTTTCCTCAATGAGGCTTTCTCCTTCTTTTCATCATCATCATCATCATCATCTCCAATGTAGAAACTAATCACTCGGGCTTCATGATCAATGATCTTCTGCTTCAGAAAGGTCCTTCTCGCAGGTCAAAGATGATTATTGGCTCAGTGTTCTCAAGCCTTCTGACCACTGGTTTGGTCTCTGCTGAGCTGCTCTGCTGACTCACACTGCCTTGTTGCTGACCAACTGCTTGAGTAGTCACTGAAGTTTTTCTGAAGATGAATGGGCTGTATCACTTGCAACCTGTCGAATATGGTTTCTCCAACAGTCTCGAGCAAGGTGCCCTGTCTTCCCACAAGTGTAACATGTTGCCTTATCACCTTCTTTTCCTTTCTGCTCTCCCTTTCCTTTCTTGCCTTTGCCTTTCGCATCCTTACCTTTGCCCTTCTGATAGTCAGTCTTGCCTTTCTTGCCCTTTCCTTTGGCACCTTGAACTCGATCACCGTCCATAGGCATGGGTCCTTGATAGTCTGCACTGCTACTTGCAAACATTGAAGTAGCCCACTGCTGCTGAGAACGATCCCATTGCAACACATGTTCCCTCGAAGTTGGGTATTGAACATTGCCGCCACTTGTCAAATTCAAGCAGGATTTGAGCTGTCCACCTACACATCTCAAAAGAATAGCAGGTTTCAACTCTTCCTGAATTGACGGTCTCATCAAATACCTCTTCAAGCTTAAGAAGTTGAGGTTGTAGAGCACTGTTCATAGAAAATGCTGGCCATGTAGTGGCTGCTCCCAAGAGCGCTAATCCTCTTGCGTTCAAAGTAGGTTTCAAAGTTTTACTCAAACTCCTCCAGGCATCAAGTCCATCGGAGTCCTCCACAGCATTCACCAATTGTAGTGCCCTGCCCCTCATCAACGAACCGAACAATCCATAGAGCTTGATGCACCTGGCTTTCTCTTTTCCAGTTGCCAAGTCCATATCAAAGTTCTCGCTTGGCTTGTCGTGAGTCTCTTTCAAGTCCTTCACGTAAGCCTCATCACTGAGCACAGATACTTCTCGAATACCCATGACCACTCTCTGAACGCGTTGATTTCTTCTTCTTGTGACTTGTAGTCAAATAGATTGGGCTTTTGTGATCAACTTTGACCAATCTGTTGTAGTTGCTTCCTTGTCTTCCACTGCTTTCTTCACTGCCTCAGCTGCTGATGACTATGGTCTGAAGGATTTCTCTGATCTCCTCCATCTCCACTGCGCACTAATGTCTTTCTGACACAACGTACCGGGTACAGAGTGTCGCTCACAGCAGTTTATCACCAGTTCAGCTATTTGGGTTCCAAAGGCCCCAAATCTATGGCTCGAAATCGCACCCGGGATCCCAGTGAGCTCAAAGGGGGTTACCCTTATCCTTGCTCCGCTACCATGCGAACTTTTCTCTGAATGCAAGAGGGCTGCGGTCAGGTGAAAACTGTAATGACATTGACATGCCATACATACTACCTCTGGTCTACCTACATATATATATATATATACATACACGTTTTATGTGTGTGTTTCTGACAGCTGAGTTTTTTTCGGCTGTGTTTCTTACAGTACACATTGCCGTACATCACCACAGGTTCCCACTCTCGGGTCCCTGAAGGTCACATCTGGCGTGGAGCAGATGATCTGCTCTTCGGGTGGTCTAGATCTGTCCTGACGTCGTGGACATCGGCCAGGTTTCGTTGTGAAATCTTCCAGAGGGCCTCTGTTGGCCTCTGAAAACAGTGTTTGCCGATGTTCAACGTCAAAACAAACTACCCCAAATCCAATCTTGGGTCTCCACTCGACCCCAAAAAATAGATAACTAAATTTTGAAAATGTGGAAACTGATTGGTGCAAATGCCCTAACACCTTGCCCAGCTTCCAACCAGGTCCTGTCCTTCTTGTACTCGAGATCTCCCAAAGCTCGTGACAAGTTCAGGTTGCCATTGACCCGATATTGGTTCGGCCTCAATGGTGAATCGGTGTTGGTGTCGTGAGGTTCCAGAATGGATTGACAAATCTGCAGTTGACACTGATGATCTGAATGCTTAGTCTACATGTATCAGGTTTACAATTCTCCTTGACGAGATTTGCTATCTGTATACGTGCGAAAGGAATATCGAGCAATCCGCAAGTTTTTGGCGCCACCAATCCACAACTGATTAGGTCTCTGAGGTGAAAAAGCACACCCATAGATCACTGCAAATGGTTGAAATCGGATCCTCCGCACTGCCAGATGGGCTGTTTACAGAGTCTCTCGATCACTGCGGGGTTTGGGTGCAAAGAATGGATTTATTTGGAATAAGCGTCATAAGCGACATCAAGGAAAGGAAGTGTTGCGACATCAAGGTGACACAAGTGACAAGTGCCAAATGAGTATCTGAGGGCAACTCAAGGAAAAGCAACAAAGCGTTGCATATGAGAAGCCTCTGCAGCCCTTGCATGTGGTTCTTCAACAAAGAACTCCAAACTTTCTCCACTGATTTCACAGACTGACCACGACACGCCCCAAATGTCCCGTTGATCTCAAGAGCGGGCAGGATCGTGATCTCAAAATGCCATTCTGAGATTCCTCACGTTGAGTTCTTTGGACGGCTAATACATCTGCTTCATGATCTTCAAGTGTTTTCGCTAGCGGCGGCTGCTGCTTTTGCAGGACCCAACGCCGCTGATCGACCTTCAACTCCAACTTCTCTGGACATGACTCGATGTCGGTAAGAAACTCCAAGAAGAGCTCCGCAAAATCACGCCCCTCTCTTGTTCGGCCATATGCTTTCTCATTGTGATGCCAATCGGAACTATCGTGAGTGGTCATTGTCTGAGGTCAAAACATGTCTTTGAGCCAAACCGCCAATCATTCGCTTTGCGCACCTATGCTTATTCACAGCTGAAGAAGCCAACTATGTAAAAGTATATAGTTCATACAGTTTCAGCAAACGACTCTGTCTGAAAGGTTGGTGCCCCAGACCCACTGTTCTCGACCCAACCACCAGCGGCTTCAATGCGCTGCTTTTCCCGTGGTGCATTGGGCTTGTGGTCCTGATAATGAATGCTGGGATGGCCTGGAGCTCTCACACCACATGTGTTTACTGTACTGATGTCTTTGTAGAACTGTACTGTAAGGTATCCTGTCAATCTGCGATCCCTGGTGTACAGCTGCACAGAAGTATGGAAAAGTTTAGCTTTAAAAAGGCGACATCTCCTACAAACATCCCAGTGCGTACACGCAGCCAACAACAATACATTGACCCTGCACCGTTGCAATCTTCACATGTTTTCTTCCTCCCTCGTCTCCTCGCTGAGAGGGATAGCTTTGCCGGCGCTGCACAATACAGCCCGACTGGCATTCGAGCCGAATCACCAAAACTCAAAGGAGACTGCGACCGTTTCGGCAGCATTCGAGCCGAATTCAATCAGGTCACACCGATTCGGCTTTATTTAGCGAACTCAGCAATTCGGCTCGCACACGCTCAGCCGGTGGCGCCTGTCGCCGGCATTGGCCGTGATGATCTGGGCGTCGGTGATGCAGCAAACGCATGCGGTGCATCCCACCATGGTTGCATCCCCGCTCGGGGAGGCCATCGTCTCAGCTCGGAGATGCTCGCTGACTTCGAAAGGTTGTCAAGTCCTCCAACCTAGTAGCTTCTTGTTACTAGTAGCCATGGCCTCCAACCTACTTACTATGGCCTCCTAATAGCGTCCTTGCTACTAGTAGCTTCTTGTTACTTGTAGCGATCAAAGACATACTAAAAAGCTCTTTGTTACTACTAGTGAAGCGATCTCAGTGAAATGATTCCCAAGGAAGCTTCTAGTGACTAGAAAGCTTCTAGTTACTAAGAAGCTTCAAAAACAGTACATGGAAAGCGTTCTTTAAGGACCTAAACCTTGCGAACACAGTTCGCATCTCTTGCGTGCGAGGCTCTGGTTCTTTGGGAGGGTTGGACAATGCGCAGACTTCTGCAGCAAAATGACCTGTGCAGACATGCATTTGCGGTAGACTCCGCTCAGGGTTAAGCATCAGAAGGCTCACCAAAGATTGGGCTGTTCAGCTGCATCAAAGCAGCCGCTTCTTAGGAGCTCGTCAATCTTGTGAAAGGCACCTGCACGACACAGATCAAGCACCTATATATATATATATAAATGGATGTGTTATTGAAATATGGTCTCCCCGTCTTGATGTACACAAAATCTGTAATTTGTTTGAATCAAAGAAAGACTCCAGGCTGCGTGCAGATGCACCTTTCAGCGCTTCCTCCATCTGTCCATTCTTCGCTTGGAGGTCTCCAGACAAGGGAAACTTCCGTAGCTCCTGCCATGAAAGTAACACCGAATGGGACCAGTTTGAGATAAAGATTTGCGAAACAACATGAAACATGGCCCATGCCCCGAATATAAGCAAACACCGAATCAAATCACCCGTGTTTGGCCCTTCATCTGTCTTGTGAATCTTGTGCCTAGAATATGTTTGCCAGTCTTCTGATGATCCCTTGAAACACTGTGTGTGTGTATCGTCATCCTTACCTTAGGTTGGCTGGACCAACATGAAGGAATCTGCAAGCAAGTGAGAGCATCAGATGTCCCTGTTCAGGCTTCACGTCGCCCCCATGTAGCCAGCCTCTGATTAGGAAATTTGATTGATAGGCAAAGGCTCATGTGCATACTCCATCCACCATATACACATATATAGAATTTGCTTCCTACAAAGATTGATTTGCAGGGTGCATCCTTCGGGCAGAAGCTTTGTGATATGTTTCTGGAAAAAAATTTCTCGTGATGGTCTTCAGCAGGATTGATTGATGGGGCCCTTGTACCCCATAGTTCACCTTCAAAATCCAATTCCATAGCTTTCTTACTGGGTGCAAGTCTTCACGCGTCAACAATTACGATGCTCGCGCCCAGGGTTGTGACAGTTGCCACAGTTGCAACGCAATATCTGCAGTGCAAATGAAGAGCTATGCTGGCTATGCTACTTGTAGTGGGAGGAGACACCAAACCTTTCTTGGACGCACCCTGTGTTGCACAGCTGCTTCCCTGTACAAGCGCTTGACCCAAAAGCTTGCAAAAGAGTACGACCTGAAAATGTGGGTAGCGAACCAGGTCCGTGCCTGGGGCAGATGGTCGCTGCTAAATCTGGCGACCTAGCAAAAGGTCCAGCAGCAAAGAGAGTGACACAGGGACGGTTTTTGCAGCATGCAATGCAGACATGCAAAAATGGGATCTTTGAACCATTGCTGCAGTGTGTGCACAGTCGCAGGGGTAAAGACGAATGCACCTGCGCCCCACCATGGCCATCCAGCACTCCAAAGAGCGCAGTCTTTGTCCAGGGTGCAGCAGCACTGGGCCGACGTGCAAGAGTGACAGGCCTCGGTGGCACGTCGGATGTCCGCCCCCACGTGCCCTCGGTTTTGCGCAGGGTGTCTGTGTTGGAACGTGTTGGATGTATCACCCAAACCGTTGGTGTGGTAGAAGCAGAGTCGTGTCCCATCCCCGCACGTAAAGCCCTACATCAGCAGAAGGGGTACAGAGCTTAAGGAACACAAGCAATTGGCACCAACTAAACAAGTCCTGAGAGTGCGTGTCAAACAAGTATCATGGAAATGTGGAAGCTGGGAAGGAATGGAGAAGCTCCACAATGCACCCCGCATGTTGGAATAGCAAATGTGTGAAGTCATCTGGGAAACGCATGTTTCTGACAAAATGCTGGACATTGTGCCCACATTCTGTGAACAAGTCTCCGCTTTCTCTATGTTGTTCTATCGCTTCCCTTTGGCATCCCCACAGGGCAATGTGTGCATCTTCCATGCCCATGCGCCAGCCCTGCATTGCTGAGGCGACCCATGTGAGTCCTTGGTTTGGACTCCAAGGATTCCACGATACACATTCTGACATCCAGGCTGCACACTTCATGCACCCAACATTGCATGTGCAAAAAATCACAAGTCAAAAAACAAATAAACAAGGCTTCTGCTCAGTCCAGGTGCGCAAAGGGCCACATTCCACCCCACTTTCAGAGCACTTCTTTGTGTTGGCCTTGTCCTGAGCAAAGTGGGTTGACTGCGAGCAAGACAGTTATAAAGGACGACTCACTCTACCCCCAGGTGCGTTCAATTTGCAGCTGGGCGGTGATACCTGTTATATATAAACCTAGTCCACTTTGTCCATGTTCCATGGAGTTCCCTGTGCCCTGCTTCGAAGTCCTATCAGCACCCTTGGCCGCCGGGCAAGTACCCCGCCCATCAGGGCTCGGCCAAAGCCAAGGCAGTCGGCGCAAATTTCTGCAAAGTGAAATAATATGTTTTCTTGTGGGAAGTGAAACTCATAGAATTGAAGTTTGAACCATTTTCAACATGAGTCTGAATTACAAAACCTTGCACTTCGCCGTTGCCGACGGAGGCAATTGTTCGACCAAGATCTTTCCAAGCTTGATACTCCACCAAATGGCGGCTCAGTCCAAGTCCTACAGTGTAAGGGCATCTCACTGATCTTGAAGATTGAGAGCTTCAAGGGGCATGGATACTTTCCGGTCTGTCTAAAGCTGCTATGATCCTTGATCTTGACAAGCTGCTGCATCATGGAAACCCCTTAAAGCTGCAAAAAGCAAAGCTCTGGCGCCCTGCCAAACACAGTTGCTTATGGAATCCCACACTCTTGCTTTGGTCGTTTTTTGGTGTGAATCATGATCCTCTGCCCACTCAAGACAGGAAAGTCAAACCACCCAAGCTGGATAGCTACACGCCCAGCTACCAGGTATGGGGCTACGCACGGGGCAAGCGGCTCTTAACGGCTCCAAGTACTCACGTGCAACTTGAATTGAGTTGCGCTAAAAATTGTCAGGCCTTTTCGATCTTTTCTGTCTTCGGTGTCAGCTTGAAGTTCACATGGCTCCAAACCGTAATCACATGTCTTAAGCATAAATCGAATCTTCGCAGATTCATCTTAATTCGTGAAACCGCCTCGCCCTGCGAGCTGCTGTCCAGTTGTTCTTCGTCAGCACTCGCCTACCATGCTCTCTGCTTTTTGTTTGCTGAAACTGTTGGCTTTTGCATGGACAGCATGTTGCCAACATAAATCAGACCCTCCTCCTTCGAATAGGTCGAGTTGGACCCTGCAAGAACAAACGTCCACCAAAAGCAAGGCTGTGCTCTTTCCTAGAAGGCAAAGCTTGGTGGCAGGTTTGAAGCTGCAAGTGTGCAAAGCCTGATCCTCCTCCGTTTGCTTCTCCAGCCTTCGACTGTGCCCTCTCAAATGACACGGTAGGGCGATGTCATAGTCGGAGATGCCCGAACCTCAGACTCAAGGGCTGCACGTATGAAACTTGATTTCTGGTTTCACCCCACCACCCACCACCACCACCAGCACCACCACCACGTTCTTTGTAGCTGGCAGGAGGGCAGAGGGCGGACGTTATACTCTGCACAGTGCCCATTCCTGTCACGTCATTTGTCAGTCTCAAGAAGAAGAGGCTATGAGGCTCTGGATGAAGCCCTCTGTAAATCTAGTACTTACTTTCAAGTCTGTGTTCACTGGATCGAAAGGCCACTATACGGATGGGACAACAATAAAAGTAAAATTGAGTAAGAAGTGCATCGCTACCAGTAACAAGGACATTGAAGATGTCCTTGTTACTAGTAGCGATGACTTTGCTGTTCACCCCCACGATTTGCGCGAGAGCCTTGGCCTTGGACCACTCGAACGCTTTGGCTCACGGGACCTTCACATGAAATGAACAAAGGCATATGCGTATGCAAAAGAATGAGATCATGATGTTGCATTGCAGTTGCAGTACATTACGTTGCATTGTGCTGCATTGCATGACATTACATAACATTGTCACATACATGTGTTTCTGTACGATTCTGTACGTATATGCACCTGTATATGCAAGCACCTTTTTTGGTGCCCCTGAGTAGGTAGACAAACGTATGTGTACAGTACACGTAGGACGCAAGTACAAGTCCCGAATCAAGTGGACAAGTCCACAGGCACAAAAGCAACAAGTTGGTGGTGCAAGTATTATATCCTGTATTCAAGTACAGCGGTGCACAAACCAACAAAGAAACAGGAAGTCAGGAGTCCAGAAGGATATTTGATATTATTTTGAATGTTGTTGATACACAAAATTGAAAGCAGTCTGTGGCAGCATCAAACCACGAAGAATGTGTCCTCCTTTGTGCTTCTGTTTGACCGGAATTCCCTTATGTTTTGAAACTTTTGACCTTGTCCGGTGGTAGTGTGTTGGTTGCGCTTGGAAGATGACGCAACATGCAGAAGCGTGTTGGAAGATCATGCCACATGCCCAAACGCTTTGGTAATGGGTGCGGTTGGGTGGGGTTGAATGCAGCATTTTTACGAATCACATGCTTCGAAACGGATGTTTTTTGTAGATTTTGAGTACTTCAAGGAAGATTAACAAACAAATTACACCAGCATAGACCGAGATAGCAAAAGATTTTTCTGGACTGCGCCCTGCATTGGCAGCAGCTCCAAAGCGCACACATGAACCTTTCTTACATTGGAAAAAACACCACAGTACAGTGTGGCGTGTCTCCACTACACGCACGGCCAGCACCAGCACACCCCGCGCATAGCCAGCTCACAGCACCCAGCACCAGCACCCACACCAGTGCCTTGACGTCCACAGCCAGCACCCGGCACCGGCACCGTGTCTCCACCACGCGCACTACCAGTTCACAGCACCCAGCACCAGCACCACAGCCAGCACCAGCACCCGGCACCGGCACCCTGTCTCAACAACGCGCACAGCCAGCTCATTGTTATTTGAAGTAAGGCGCTATCTGAGGAAAAACACAAAAACAAGCGCAGTTGTCCACCCAGCATGTTTTTGCCTACTGGGCAAAAACCGCGTGCCTACAGCGGAGTCTTCCAAAGTTCATCGTGAATCGTGATCATCATTCGTGCAGTTCTGCGTGCTGCAAGTCGACGAAGGACATAAAATGCATAAGTAGCAGTGGTTTGAACTAGTTCAAAATGATATTGTCACCATTCTGCGTGCATCATCTTCATGTCTTGTTCGCATTCGTCCAAATTCCACTCCTTTGATTTGGGGGTATATAATAATTGTTTCTGCGTATGCGATCGTTCAATAGATCAACATGATATTGTTTCATGTATCAAGTTGCCAACATACAGGTCCAGGTGTGGGGTGCTTCAGCGGCAATCAAGAGGCTCTTGCCTTGCTTGTTTGCTTCTTATCACTTTATCGGATCAGAGTCTCTCAGCATTGCCTTTGGTCATCCTCATTCGCATCTCCAAGCCATCTGTTCATTTCTTTGCGCATGGTCCTGTTCTGCGTTCCTTTCTCGGGGTCGATACTTTTCTACTTGGAGAACCTCGTCATTGTCGTGTGTGAGCCTTAGTCGCCTTTGAACTCCTTCGTTTGTACAATAGCCTCTTCAGTTCTGAACAACCAAGCAATTTGGTGGTCTTTTGGACGCTGGTTTTGGCCAATTTAGGTAGACGTTTCTTGGGAACCAAACCTGTTCAACAACAGTCTCATGTTCTGGGCTTTCGGTGCAATTCAAGATTTCTACTGTTCCTTTCTACTTATAACTGAAGTTCAATTCCATAAGTACAAGTACCAGTTCTTTGAACTTGATGTGCATCACATAGACTTTAGAACCAACTAGTTGGGAAGGAGGAGCACAACACTACTTCCGTCACAGATGTCAGCTTGAAAAGCAGCATCGCGCAAGCGCACGAAACTGTCGCAAAACCCAAATACACCCAACCTATAGTAAGTTAAAGAAACTTTGTAGCGAAACGAAACTACGGTTCTTCTGAAACACAATGGAACTGGGACGTTACGAGAGGATGTTTCAATGACTCAGACAGGCTTATGGCCTCCTCTGATAGGATGGGATGTTTTGGTACTTGGAGCATGTTGGGCCAGATGCGAGAATGCAAAGTATGTACACATCCTAATTGTACAAACTGTAGGTTCAACGTTCAAACAAATCTCCCAAACAAATGATTACCGTTCACAAGGTTTCAGGTTGCCTTACAGATTAAAAGGATTACAAATGGTCGTCGATTTTTTGAGGCTGGTTCTGCAACTGGACAATGCCACTTTGCAAATTGACTGGGAGCCCTTGTGAGCAATTGCATTTCGTCCAGTGATATGTCGCTGCTGTTGGACAGCTCGAACGATGCCGACGATGTTGAAATGTATGAAATGCAAAGCCAGTTATCTGCATTGTTTGCATCACCAAGGAGAGGTGTTCTCCTCCTTGGGACACAGCTTTCCGAGAAAAAAAATATACATAAATATATAAATAAATAAATGCAAACTGCGAGTTAGCGGGCGACATGACTTCGAGACACAGACTGGCCACACTGTAGACAGAAAGCACGAAAGGACACTGCCGCTTCAGTGTTTTGGGGTCCAATGCAAATGTGCTGAAGAGGCTTAACGGTGGCTCCAAAAGGCCACCTTACTGATCCTGACTGCTTGCCGAATTTGACATGATGCAAGCTACAACTGGAAGCAAATTCCGTCAGTTCTAAAGCTCTCGGTGGAGCCAAAAATTGTTTCCATAGCTTTAGGACGCTACTAGGGGCTCCTGAGGGCTCCTGGCATCGCTACTAGGAGCAAGGACGCTACTGGGGGGCTCCTGGCCTTAGGAACAAGAAGCTACTAGGAGCTTTTCGTCGTAACTGAGAGACCCACTCAAGCTGCGAGCGACTGGAGTGAGTGGTGATCCAGGCTGCGCCGGAGGCACGATTGGAAGAACTCCGATGAAGGGGTCCGGGGGGGCTGGTCTGGGCACAAAACAAGACTGCAGAAAGGAAAGCCCTCGATCGATCAACACCCATCCACGTGCCATTGATGTGTCAAAAGATCTTGCAAAAAGAATCGGCATGTGTACTAGATGTTATAGAAGGTGTATGCTTCTTGGGGCTTGGACGGGACCAGGCTGGGTGGCTTTGACCACTAACAGTCGCGTCAAGCACCCTCCAAACCCCGGAGCTGGCACCATACGCACTGAACGCGCTGGTGGGTGAGCTGTCAAAGTGCGCAACCTTGGCTTGCTACACAAAGATGTGGGCAGCTTGGCGGTTTTTTACAAATGCCAACTCTATGCCTTTATGATCCTTTGCGTATTCTTGGTATTGACTTTGGGTCAAGCCAAAGTAAAGTATTCATTCCCGTGATCATTCGCGGCGACACCACAAGGGTGAGTGCTTGACCGTGAGTGTTTGACCCTTACATCCACTTGAGTCGCAAGAAAAGGAACGCCGAAAAGCACGTGTGGCGACAAAACTAACATGAAGCAGCTTGCACAGCTTCTGCTAGATGCTGCCCTGTCAAATGTTTGGTAACATTCTTTGGGGAGTCTATACCAATCAACATTTTAGCACTTAATCGTCGGTGGCACAATCAAAACGAGCAGGCAAACTTTTGCTGAACTGCCCTAATTGTCTTGTCTGACGGAGACCCCAGTGAGTGAATGTTATGAAATCATCCAGCTGGCCACTGCTGAGTTTATAGATGTGCATTTGAAAGGTGAATTCATCCAGCATGAATGGGATGACATATGACATGGATGTGGTATTGCTGTATGCGATTTGAACGTGGCAACACGCATTTCACAAGCAGCTTGGAACTCGGCTGAACAGGGCCTTGGAGCACGGGGCAGCATTACAAGGACTGATGACCATGTCCGGGACTCTTGTGTAGTTGAAACACTCCATTCATCACATTGAAGTAGTTTTTTCAAATGTCCAAAACAGTAAACTCAATGCATATAGTGCCCCAATGAAGATCTTGAAATCTCATAGATACAGTGCCTACATGTAAAATCAAAAGGAGGACTGTATTGTCCTGGCCGAGGACCGAGCTACCCATTGTTGTAGGCTGGCAAGTGTGGCTAAGAGTGACACAGGGGGCGTGTCAAAGACTGGAACAAGAAAATAGTCAATACAAAACAGCAGCAAAAATCGCAGAAATGACCCAATGAGTAAACTGCAAGCAAAAATAGATGCCAACTGTTAACACTGATGATCAAGTTCAGAAGCTGCTCTTCAACCAAGCAACTCGGTGTCCACATTTAAAAACTTATATATATATATATATGTCACTGCGCTCACACAGGTACTCCTTTTTCGGGTTGCGCAAAGACC